GCGCTTGATTCGAACTTCGGTAACATTTTTCTAGAATGTCTACGAATTTGCTACCAAGATTTAATAACCAGTCTGAAGAATTGGGACTGCAGTTCCCCTTTAAGTCATATTTATTAGGTCCATTGAAGGCTTAAGACGTTCTAGCAGGGAGTGTAAGCCCTACTACCGTCAGCTAGAGGAGGTTGTAAAGGAACAGGTAAAGGTACATTCCATGCTGAAAGGAAAGCAAAAGAAACACTACCCTGTCGGAGGCTCCACAGCCAAACCCTAGTGTTTATTTTCTTCTCTTTATCTTTCAGCATGGAATAAACCCTTACCTGTTCAATGCAGGCTTTAGCTACAGCATGTCACTGAATGCTCCATTGGGGGGAAAAAAAACCCAGGACCTAGACTGCACCTGATCTGAAGGACGAAGCATCAGACATTGAAGTACCCTGTAAAACACAGTGGCACAGCTGAGGTATACTTTATACCAGGAGTAATTGTGGGTCCATCTAGTCTCTGAACTCTGTGTACTCCTTTAAAGGACAAGCAGAATTACTGGGGAGTTTCATCTCTACCCACCACTAGTAAAGGATAAGGGAATTCTAAGCTCCGGAACGGTGAGGTTTAATGGAAGTGCCTCCAAAGACCAAGGTGATGTTCAGCTGTAGGAGGCTCCTGATTTGTAAGTCGGCTGCAGAGGCAGTCGCTGCATTTACACCCAGGCGTCTGAAGGCAGGAAACTGCAAGGTTAGAGAAATAACTTTCCACATGCCTCTAACCTATGTACCTCACATCCCTCCTAGGAATAAAAAAAGGCACATTTCTAAAATCACTTAAATAAACAGGGGAGTTTTATTGGCCCACAGGCAAGCTGTCTGAGTAGCACGGACAGTGCACATTGTGCATTATGAGTAATTTTTCGAACTTCTCTCATCCTTCCATTATGTTATAATAAACATACAGGGTGTCCAGACATGCTGGGATATGCAAGTATTTCAATTTCAGGAAGGGATAGTGTTTGACGTTTTGTAGCTTTAAAATGGTCCAGTAAATTTCAGACTGTCCTGTCAAAATCAGGGATTTTCAGTATTCTTTGAGAAAAAAAACAGCCACTTCATCTTCGAATTTTGTATAACTAGCACCCTTCTAGCATGCAGAGGATCATAATATAATTGAAAAACGAAAGACTTTTTAGAACATTTTTTTAAAACAAAACTTTTAGTCCATATTTAAGACATTTTCGGGAAGCCCTATTTTCTGTGGAGGGTCAATCTGATGTTATGGTTGTGAATCACAGATGCCACAATGTAAGATAACTAATTACCACATGGCATTTTGCATACCGAACGCTGGATCTTAAAACCAATTTGAAACAGAACCTAGTCCCCTAGTCCACACCACAGGGGCATGGTCAGACATTCAAAGCAGTTAGGATCTCTGCTGCCGCATTGTAGCCACAGGACCATAAAACCAGCTTTTTTATTTAAAAAAATACTTATTTGACATTCCTGTCACTGTTTAAACTGAAACGTATTATGGTCATAGAGAAAATGATCACTGCTTTCACAGAGATGTATAGACGGTGTATGCTTTGTTTTTCTTCATATTTTGAAGCTCATCCTGGCTGTAAAAGCTTTTACTTTTTGAGAAAATGTAAAAATAACGTACAACAGAACCACACTTCCATTCATTCCATACCTTGAAATCAAAATCAACTAAAAACTACTGTATGAATCACGACAAATACACCCCTATGTCTGAAGGGCTTTAGAATTTCTTGGGATAGAAAGAGCAATACAGATTCTAATATAATTAGAAAAAAATAGATTTTTTTTTAAATAGGGAACAGTTTTCAGCTTTTACAAATCTCAATCGGTGACGAGTCATTAAAAAACATGTCCAGCCCCGAATTCGCCACTTTAACGCTGTTCAATTAATATCTGTCAGACCTGTCTACAAGCACTGCAGATCTGAAGGTCACCTTAATGCATTCACTGCATTTGGTGGTTGATGAACACATAGAGGTTAATTCCACCTCCTTTTATTAAAAAAAGAAGCAAAAACACATTTTGGCTGCGGAGCTCTTCTTTAGGTATGAAGAGCCTAACACCTCACCCTTGAGGAAGACTGAAGCTGAAGCGTTGTGTGTTTTCCTTTTTAATTTTACATTGTAGAATTAAGCTCTGTTTGTTCCATTGTCGCACACATGCTGAGCACCCTACAGTTTCGGGCTCTAAATTGTTATCCGTGGATGCAGCTAGACGGCTTTTGCAAATACACATAGTCAATCATTTGTTAAATCAATAAATTAATCCACAAATCATGTGGTGATTTAGACCCTTTTTACATAGAATTCTGACCCAGACAGCTGCATGCTGCTCAAACTGTCTTCCAAATGTTAGCAATCTCCCTCATATTATTCAAGACAATCACTGTTCCCTTACACTGTTTCACCCTACTGCGATGGACTCAAGTCCCATCCGAGTATTTTACTTCGTACCGATTGCTTGCCAAGATAGACTATTGCCCCTCTGAGACCCAGTACCTGATAAAATAGTAAGCAAATGGATGGATAGGTGTGACACCACCCCCACAGCACCTCCACTGCACATTGATAAGCGCCTGGAGATGGTGCTCACTATTGACAAATTGTTGTAAAAAAAAAATCAACTGATCAATGGACACTCAATTCAAACCCTTATTATCAGAGACCCAAAGCAGTGCTGCACACTGTCAAAGTCTGTCAAAAACCCTAGCTGAGGCTGTTGTTAAACCCCCTTCACCAAACAAACTGCCTATAAGCCTCTTTCTCTGCCTATCACAACTGCAGCCAAAGCTCAGAATGTGCTGTTACGAGTCCCACCGAGGCCAATAAATACATAACCAACTAAATGATTTCTTAATGCACTGCTGAATCAGCAGTAAACCCCCTCTCCAGAGAAATGTCCAGATTAGACAAATAAACGTATTATTCATATGCATGAATAAAATTAATTCTTTGCCACCTTTAAAGCAGGAAATCACTTTAAAGGCTGCATCGGTTGCCCTGCGGTAACTACTAAATCGTTAATGGTTCCACGCCTGATTCCAGCATAATGGACTCTAAGTGGCAGTTTGGAAGGATTCCTAAATATGCAGATGTCTGTGCCTCCAGAAATACATTTGAGGCAATCCCTAGTCAGAGATATAGCAAATATTTGCATCAGTTCTCCTCTGGCCTGTATTATGTCAGCATGCACCTCTGCAAACTCACACAACGGCAACAATCCAGCTCCGTGTAGAAGTTACACAGGCCCGCTGGTTCTGCTAATGTCTCCAAGAAGGAACAGACTGTGGCTTTTGAGACTGAGGCCTTCCCCACGAAACGTCCATGGTTTGCCCTTAGAATGGACCATTTTGCAGATGTGATGTAAGATACCGAAAGATGAGGAAATTGTACGTCTTATTTCTGGAACCTTCTCCTTAGTGGGACCTTGAATGTCACAGAGGCCTTGTATGACCTATCTGAGCACTGCCCTTGAAGACCAAACTGGAAGAATGCTGGCTAGCCTTAAGTAGTCCTTAACTAGCCAAAAGGCTTTCCCAAATTACAGCCTGGCCCCGCTCTCTGCCATCGACCTGGCTCCCAGATGGAGTCAAGGCCTTGTTTTGGCTGTCTTTGGCTGTCTCTCGCGCGGCCTGCTGCGAGAGGAGGTCAGGACCCTGTTCGCTCCGTGCGGTTGCCAGGGCCTCCTTCGCTCCAAGAAGCCCGCTGAAGTTCAAGGTGGAAAAATCCAAGACAAAGCGAAGCCAGAGAGCAGCTGCTTCGTGTTAGCCACCACCCCATAGCTCTGAAACCCTAATCGTCGAGCTCTCATGTTATTAATTAACATGTTTCTCTTGTCGTCTTCTATTTTCTTTTTAGAAGAAAATATGTTAGGGGGGTTTTGAACTTCGACGCTCATTTTTCTGACCTTCACTTCATTTGTTTTCCGTGTTTGTTTACACAGTTCAGCTCTTCTCTACTCTACCACGGCGTCACGTTCCCAGTGTGTCGGAGGGGAAAGAGCCCCTCAGTCGCATTAATGAGGTTGTTACTGCCTCAGGAATTAGGGGAGCCTGTGATTCAGAGCTGAAGGCCTTGTTAGGGAAAAAATGTATTCTGCTAAACGATGGTTTGGATGAAAGTAGTTCTCCATGTGGCATTATATGATCTCCAGGACGGGCTGTGATAAAACCACAGAACTGCATTATGGGACATAGATTTGCATGCTGTGGTCAGGACTGCAAATTGGACAAGCTGGGTATGAAAGCAGCAAAACAGTTTTAATCTTTTAAGTGCAGCCAACGTCAGGGTGACATAAACCGACACTTCGGCACAAGGTTCTGCACCGTTCTACATAATAGTGGACAGTTTGTAACAACACCAACACTGATTGCTTTTGGGGGGTACGTAGGGGTCTGATTAGGGTTAGGGGTTCACTTCACAACATTTTCACCTCTCAGGAGGAGTCTCATTTTTGCTGCCCTTCTAGCGACAAATGGAAAGCACAAAAAAATTAGCCAAGAACTAATTTCACTTCCACATTTGGATCCTCTGCCATAGACATGGATAACAAGTTGCCATCCTCTGTCATTGTACCTGTAGAAATCCTCCAAGGAGTTTAGAAAATGAAAGTTAAAGTCATTTGGTTTTAGTGATCTTCCATTTTTATTTATGCTGGGATGTGTCATATATACCTGAAAATAACCATTCCTGAGCTGCCCACAGGTGGAATGCCAGGGAAGGAGATGGGGAGATTTTAGAGCTGCACACATTTCAGAGCACCTTCAATTGGACTCAAAGCACTGTGTGACTAATTTCTCCCACAGCCACACACTTCCACTGTGTTCTCAAAAGTAATTTAGGTCAATCGAAGTTGCTAACCACATGGAAAATACCTGATATAAAGAAATACGTGAAAATGGACCAACTACATTTGAAAGATTGTTCAATGGTTCACATAGTTGACAGAGGCTACTTTCAGCTGAATATCCAGGCAGGAAACACAGGGGTTTATTATATTTGTTTGGGGGAAAAAAGGCAACATTTCAGAGGTTGGTACCATGTAATGTGCATTGTAAACCAAGTACCGGTTTAAAAACTAACATTAATAATGAAAGCAGGAACAAGAGTCTTTTTTCAGGTTAACAGGACTAACAGCTGGCTGAGTCATGGTGTTGCGAAACAAGCTTGGGAGGAGGTCAAATTGTCTCACACTCTCCGATGTATAAATCCTTGCTGGTTGCCCTGAGCTCTGTGTACATCTTTTGTAGTGCTGCTCCCTCCACCCCCAGCTCCACCCCTGCAGCTGCCTCCCGGGCTCATTCCTTGAAAGTGAGGGGGGGATGTGACGACTCATCCAAGCATGTTGATGCCAATCAAGTGTTAAGTACGTTTTTCCCTTTACATTTTTCGGCATACTTAGATTTTGACCCAACTACTGAGACACTGAGTCTTGTGCTTTTGAAAAAAAGGTATTGATCTTCATGCCTTCCTACAGACAGCCCTTGCACAGTGCCACCTGTCCCTGCTGGTAGTTTCGGCAGGGGCACAGTCTGCGATACAAGCTCCCCGACCCCGCGCAGCTGAAGAGGAGCTTCTCTCTCTGCAGGAAGCAGCGGCGCCTCCTCTGGTTGTAAGCTGGGAAAAGGTGATTCACCTCTGCCGACGTGCCGGAACAATTCGCTCCCATTCTGCAACAGACACGCGGTTCGCGCTCATTAGCAGCTTATAGAGGCGGCGCTGGTACTTGTGGTGCTACATTTTAAACTTACGTTGATCAAATCACAAGTTATGACATCATGCCATCAGTGTGAAACCTCCTCATTCACATCCTTGACCGGAAATCTGATTTTCTCATAAACTCCGCTGAAAGATTTGTATCGAGCAAATGTGCACAAAGTATGTGATGGGATATACAGTAACTCCAAGAATTCAGTGCCGTTATCTGTTAAAGGCCGCGCGCTGGCACACGCTAGTGAGAATGAAATATGACTGTTTCTTTCCATACCTGCTGAAGGCAGTGGCGTTGTTCAGGAGGTGAAACAAGGCCGGCTCGCATACCAGAGATGCATCATGGCAGACGGCTGTGCAGGATTTTCCGGCAGATCCCAGGCGAGGTAGTAGAGCTGTTTCCGGCGGCCAGGAAGGGTGAGAATCGGAACAGAAATCCTGAAAAAAGAGATCAGGATACTGGATAACAGTGATGGACACATTCTAGGACTTGGAGAGCCGCAAGCACCTGAAAATCCTGTTTTCTGAAACGTTTGGAAACTGTGGTAAGTAATGCAAGTAAGTAATGCAAAAAACATGATTAATTTCAATGACTACAAACTGTGGGAGAGTGAAAGCTTAAAGGCCTTGATGTTTCCCAGGAAGAAGAATGAGAGTCACTGCAGTACTCAATGACTTAGGGATTAGATAAATTACCTAAGGTGTCTTTTGTCATAGCAGGAACGTTGACAGCAGCGTTCCCATCCTGTTGCCTGATCTCATTTAAATGATCATTTAAGAGGTCATTCAAAAAAGATCTTTTGGCTTTCTGCACAAAGGATCTCAGATTTCAGATGCCAACCTGGGCTAGGCCTAAGTCCAGCAATGAGACAGGAGATATCTAATATAAAGATGTCTGTATATAGATGTCTTTATATAAAGCATTTTAGGATCTTGAGGCAGGAGACGTGTCACACAAATGCAAAGCAAAATTAATTAGAAGTAATATATTGAAGTTCAAATTTCACAATAAAGCCCCAATTGAGCCAGTCAACTCAAAATGAAATCCAGAAAAACACCTACTATCTACCTAACCACAGAAACAGCTTGGAGCAGAGATGATTAGGTGGGGGAAAGGCTTTAATACCAATTAAGTAAGGTGTTGTAGCCAGTTCAACCAGATATTATTAATTGTCTTTGGTTCTGGCTATAACCTCCTCTCGCGGAAAGTACGTTGTATGACCATGGTATAAACAGGAATTTGTTTAACATCTCACCTGCATCACTGCCCTTTATACAGAATGTCGCCATTCTGATACTACAGTTCTGATTTACCAGCAAAACGTAGTCTTGTGATGTCTCTCATCTTTCAGTATTGTCCCAGTGAAGAACACCCCAGTGTCATGTGAGTTTACAAGATCTGAGAAGGTGTCGCTGTTAATATACTTTCTGGAGTACACACATTTTCCTCAAGCAGCTACCTAGGGCAACTACTGCATGAAACATGCAGGTTTTACCTGGTGGGAGATGTAGGCAAAAACCCTCTCCAGCATTCCTTCACAGGTGAATTCATAGGGGACGAGGGGCTCCACCTGTAAGGGAGGGACATTTAGAAATAATAACAGCACCAGGTCAGACCTGAAATGGATAAATATGAACGTTTTCCCCCCTGTATATTTCAATGGCAGATTTTATATATATACACTGCCGTACAAAACTCTAAGACACAACCTGAGAACTGGGAACCCGGGGGGCGATACTGATTTCTTTTCCCAAAGCTTTAGTTCAATGGCAGCAGGATCTCCCAGGAAGTGGGAACATGTCAGGTTGCTCCCTTGTGCGGTGGCTCTGTGGCTAAGGATCTGCGCCTGTGGCTGGAAGGTTGCCGGCTCGTATCCCGCGGCCGGCAGAGGAATCCTACTCCGTTGGGCCCCTAAGCAAGGCCCTTAACCCCAGCTGCTCCAGGGGCGCTGTATAAATGGGTGACCCTGCGCTCTGACCCCAAGCTTCTCTCTCCCTGTCTGTGTGTCTCATGGAGAGCAAGCTGGGGTATGTGAAAAGACAAATTCCTAATGCAAGAAATTGTGTACGGCCAATAAAGTGATCTGATCTTATCTTCTACACCTCCCCAAGCAGATTCTATCCCCAACCTGTGTGTGCAGTATGCTCCTCACTGCCAGCCGCACCTCGGTGGAGTTGCTCATGTCCACAGTCCACACGTAGGGCTTGCCGATGAAATTTTCTGCATAGGGGTGCTGGGAGGGTACCTTTAAAACACACAGTACAGAGCTGGCAGGCCTGAAGGCAGGGTTTTCAAAAGCCTACCTACATTAGGAAACAATTTCCCAGACCCGGATTAGCAGCAGTACGAAACTTGCTTTCTCTTAATGAACGTCAACCAGGTTTAGTTAGATCAGGGAATTCACTGAAAAGCCTTCATTTTGGCAGACAAGTTTTATTTTCTAGTAACTTCACTTTGGTTAATGTTTTTCTTTTACCAGGCTCGGACACAGGGCCCTACCTGTCGGGTGGTGGGCTTCCCTCGGTAGAAGTCGCTGTTCTGGGGGGAGCGTGGGGGCTGGAACCGGGGCTGCAGGAACACGCAGCCTGAAGCGATGGCCTCCAGGGGCGCAGGGCCCTCGTACGGGAACCCCAACCCTACAAACAGCTGGGAAACGGAGTGGAGTAACACACAGCCCTGTCCTCTACTAAACTGCTGGTCACTCCAGTGGAGCACCACGAAAGACAAATAGGAACTCAAAGCAGTTGCTATTTTCCTTTCGGGGGGGAGAAATGAGGGCTTTTTTCATCAGCCTCTCTGCACAAAAGCACATGGTCTGTGTCTCCACTGATACACAATTTCTTCCAGTCAAACAATGGCAGCTACTCATATACACACAAATATGTTATATGTACATTTAGGCAGTATGATGTGGACGTGCTATGAAGCAAATAAAATACGCAGATTTAATTTTTAGTGTTCTGAGTTTCCATGTAGACACTGTTAGCAACCACATCTCAAAGTGATATCAGTAGCCGTGGCTGGCAGGGGTCTCGAGGAGCACCTCTCACGTGTTTGACAAAGGAGTACATGGTCATGTACGCTACTTCAGTTTCTGTTCTGCGTTCAAGGCCATGCAAACTGAGAAGCCCCGGCTGATGGCCTACCTTGGCTCTCCTCAGCAGGCTGAGCAGCTGGTCCTGCGGCAGCAGCCCGTGGTTTATGATGTAGCTGGGGAGATGAAGAGAGCTCCCGGGCTCCTGGTACACAGTCCCATGGACCTCCAGCTCCTGGCTGAGGACATCCAGGTAGCTCTCCTTCCCCTGCCGAGAGAAACGGAGGAGAACAGCACCTGAGAATGAGGTAGGTCTAAACCACAGAGTCTGGGTCCATCAGCTTCAATCACACCACAGTGTCCCTCAACTCTCCAGCAGGTTCCTGCATTTATATTATCATAAAGAGCTCATGTAAGATTAAAACCAGACAGAAACAGTTGTAGGAACACTGCACAATTGCATTATACAGTACAGATCTGACCCTTCAAAGCCCTGTTTCTGATGGAACTTGACAATAAGTGCGAATGTAATTGGTGTTTCCTCCTCTTTGTTTTCCTCATTCCAGAAAATCTTAAAACAGACTTCTGGTAGGGAGTAGCCTGTTTTTCCAAAACCTCAGGGTTGGAAAGGGTAATACTGTGGCTGTAGGTAGCTGTGGCTGGGGCAGTAGTAATTAGGGCAGTAGTTTTAGCAGACCTAACACTAGAGGTCGTTGTGGTCTCTAATGTTTGTACATAGGCTCACATGTGGCACAATAATGGATCAATTACTTAACTGGTGAAGAGCTAAGAGCAACATTTTCACACAGTATTTAAGTCTAGTTAGGTGTATATAGGATCTCATGGTGGCAGTTGGTGTTCAGTTAGTTTAGAACAAGCATTTGTGCTGTATAGAGTAAAGTTTCCTTGCACGGTATCTGTGCTATCCATTGTATTTCCCATGTATAACGTTAACCAATTATTACACCAATCTACAATTCACCATCTGAAGTAATCAAAGAAGGCTCAACTGTATTCTAAGTGTGGAGTCCTTTATGTTAATTTCAACCAGCTTTTGTGAAATGTTACATCTACAGTAAATTCTATAAGAAATAGTTCTAAAATGGTCTTTGCCCATGCGCCAAGACACAAAAAACTCAGTTTAGTTCTAGGTTGTATTCATTTTGTCTCACAAAACTCTTCGCCCACAAAACTTCATTACTTGCCACATGTAGTCCTGTTTGCCATAGATGACTGCTATGTTGGCCTTCCTTCTTGTCTGCTCCTGTTCCTCCAAATCTCTTCCCAGCTCCTCGGTCACAAACCCCAGGAAGGAGTTGTCAGGTGTGTGCGCTGTGAGGCGAACCATACAGACAATATTATTTTTGGTAGGAATAACAGTGCCTAGCAACCATAACCATAACAGCATATGAAATGAAAATGTCTTTATCAAGGCAAAATCCCACATATGCCGTGGGACCAAGAGGTGGGACCAACCAAGAGGTTGTTGGATCTTTAGATTAAAACAAGTTTAGAAATATAAGCTTAGAAAGACTCTTCCTTTGTATTACAGGAATGAATGAGTGTCTTTTACATCACGCTTGGCATCCGTGAGAGCATTAGGCTTTTGTATTGGCTGACCTGAGCCACACTTATCCTCTGAGTCTTGGTTGTTTATCACCTAATTGAGAGGCTGATTAAGTAAACCAGAAGATGTTGGTCTATTGTTTAAACACCAGCTGTATTGTAGATTAGCCATAACTGCCTCTCAGAAAGGTTGTGCTCAGCTTGCAAGAGATGTGTGAATTGTTCTAGAAAGTTCCGATGTTCTAATTCTTTCCTTACAGGAACCTTAAAGCAGGGGCAATGAACAGGTGGCCCAGAAGCAGTTACAAAACAATGGTAGGTTATACAAACGTGATCTTTTTTTTCATTTGCTCCAAGATCTCTAGCAAATAAAAGCTTAAGAGACTGGATGAAAAACATGGGTACAGTATGTTGTTTCTCCACTAGCGATTTCATTGACTGGGGGAAAATGCACACAGCTATTTTCGCATCAGGTATTTGGAAAGTTGTAGAAATAATGCTTGGATGGCGCTTTTGCACCTGTGATTGTGTTGGTAAGCTGTTAAAAATGTTTTAGCATTTTCTGTTATATTGACTTGTTTTAGGGAACTGGGAGACACCTTTGTGTGTCAGACATTTCCATTTATTTCTACACTCACTACTTCGTTTAGGGTCTGTTGAAAATGTGCTATAGTGCAAAATGTGAAGTTGGTGGACCACTGGCCTTTCAGCAAGACAGCACAGTGGCCCATGGTCAGCTTTCTTTTCATTATCAGACCAGAATATCCATACAAATTTCCCAGTGTCATTTTCCCAGTGACCCTGGGACACTGTAGAAGGTTCTCAGATGGAATACTTAGGTCCTGACTACTTGGTTATTAAAAATCCCAAGTACACTTTTGGAAGAGTATGGGTGTTTAGTTTCATTCCGTTATGGGTTTGTACAATGTGATCTCCCTGAAGTTGACCCTTAATTTCATTTAACATAAGCTGTGCAGGGGTGCTATAGTATTATTGTTGTTGTTGTTGTTAATAATTACAATTATTGGTGATTATGGAATCCCACTGAACGTTATCCATCTTGTAAAAATAAAGGGTTCCACACTCCTTTTTTATGGAAAGAAATAGGTATATTAAAGGAGGTGTGATTGTCCAGTTACGATATAAACTTTGCTCTCTGTTTCTACAGTACATATTTGGCAGAGAGTCCAGCACTTTTCCATCTTGTTGACTCAGAAGAGCTTTAACGATCCTGGGATGTGATGGAGGGCACTAAATAAAAGTAAGTTAAAAGAAAGTCGATGCAAGTATTTATTCATGTTTTTATAGGTGTAAATGGGAGGGGAGGTCTATTAACTGAATAAGGAAAGATGCATTACTAGAAAAGGAAAGAATTTAGGGTAGCACATTTCTGACTACATTGGGTAAAAAATCTGCAGACTGCCTAAAAAACGTAGAGTATTTCAATGGGATAGGAAAAGGCTGGAATTTGACGGTTAATAAAACTAATAAAAGCTCTGTTGTCTCCAAGTTTTCCCACTGTGTTTAGATTAAAGCTCAATCTTAAATCCCCCCCATCTCTTCCCCATCAGTTAAATTACTCTAAACACTGCGGTGACAGCGAGGTGTGAGAGATAGATATTTATTTAAGAAAGACACAGGATGAGTGGAATGTGGGGAGTGAGAGAGACAGAATTAGCGAGAGAAATAGTTGGCGCATTAAGGGGACTGCCAAGACCGGAGAGAAAAATAACTTTGGGCTCTTTTTCTTCTCGGTTTCTTCTTTTGACATACTTATAGGAGGCCGTTTCCAAATACAGTGTTTTTTTTTTGTCTCGTTAGCAAAGCCGCGTTCCTCCTCACTGTGTCTCCTAGCGAATAAGTCATTTTGGAAGACCTGTCCCACGTGGACTACCAGTGGCTTTGAGAAATAACCAGGCCTCAGCCCTCAGACACTTCAGATATACGTTCCTGACTCTAATCCACTTTCCTGTTGTACTCTCAGCAGCCAGCCCCACCTGTCAGTATCAATCTTCCATTATAAAACAGATCGGATAAACACAGTGGACCGATCGGAGAGACATTCCAACTTGTACACAATTCTTTAATACACTGGGAAGGTTCACATTTACTTAACCTATAATTACTTTTTTTTTTCCAAGGCCGTTAAAGTTCATTTCAAGGGCTTCTTTCCTCTGGAGAGCAGTAATGCTAACAATCATACTAGAATCCCACCAACCACCGACTGGAGAGCACAGAGGTCTATGAGAACAGAAGGATGCTCTGTCTCTCCTTTGTTATTTCACGCATTGGCAACAATCAGGGGCTATGTTCATACTGAAAAAAAAGGGAAGAATGAAAATATATACAACACTTCGGCACCCTACAGAGGAATTTCACTCATTCAGATCGCAGGTAAAACTGGATTAAGCACTGCAACCACAATGCCCAGCCCCTGGCATGGCAATTAGAGGGCAAGAGGAATGCCCTGTGTCAGTGCGCAGCACGCTTTGGCACAAGGTAGAGGATTGTACTGACCGCCCGCCCAACATACACAGTGGTGGCTGGCATGTTTGTCAAAGACGCTTTCTGAACCTCATTGATTCCACATGCAGCAGATGCACTGAACTGAACACAGTAACACTCCCCAGTGTTTCACCAATTGCACCTGGCAAGAGCAGACCACTCAGTCTCAGTTTTGCACCTGTATAATACCTGAACTAGCACGTATACAGACTTCTCCAGCATACCTTGTACTTCAGGATAGTACATTGTTATAGAGTACAGACTTGTTTTCATATTTAGAGATAAAACTATATCAAGTTATCAATATGTACAGATATAATTCCACACAATATAATGAAACATATGACTTGCAAAGTGTTTTTTTTTTTTATGGGAGACATCAATTTTCCCACTGCAGACTGGGAAAAACCTATAAGGATGCCAGCAGCAGAAATGTTAGATATGGCTAATGACTGCTTTCTTACTCAAATAGTTTGCACCTACAAGAGAAAATGATCTTATATTTTCACTCAACCAACAGAGGTGGGAGAACCGATAAGGAGCTGTGATTAAATTATGGTGTGTTCTTAGGTGTACTTTGTCCAAATCAAAGGTTTGCAATCTCAGTAAAGCAGACTTTGAAGGAATGAGACAAAGCGTATGAAAAGTAGCATGGGATAAGACAGATATGGAATTGGTTGAGAATGGATAACAACCGATTAAAAACATTCTGCTTGAAGAATAGCATGTACATATCCCAAGAAGGTGTAAATCAAAAGCTAAAAAAAAGCATTATCCCAGATTGTAAGTTTTAGTGATTAACAAATCAATTAGTACTGAATAGGACTGCCATTGCACAGTGGGGTCTACACAGACCTGGGAAAGAAATGGAACAGTCCGTTTCATCTTAAGAAAGGTGTACTGTTAGGAGATGTTTCGGTTTTGGGCTTGTGATGCTCAAAAATTTCCAGAGGAAAAGGTAAGAAAAGAGTCACAGGCTAGGAGTTTTGAGAGGAGATCCTGCATTCTCCTTGTGTAGAAACCCAGACAGAACAGAGGCACACAAACACACACACACTCACGGAACATGGTCATGTACTGCAGTGGTTGTAGGTTCCAGCTCCCCCAGGCTGTGCTGTAACTGTGCTGATCAGCATATTCCCTCAGATTGAAGGCAGGTTCTGTGCCAAAGGAGTCCAGAACCCGGTACCGGCACCTAGGAGCAGAGCCGGAAAGGGCCTGGATTTAAAAAAGTGCAGAGTAATCTCTAAAATGGCCACTGTTTGCTTTTGATCCCTCTTCAAGAAAATCAGTCAAGAGAGTTTTCTGGAGAGGACCAGTTACAAAGACAATAGACAAACATAGGAATACTTGTTAGATCTTATAAGACTGACATTATCAGAGCTCAGAAGCTGTGTAGAAACAGTCTTGGTGGATTTACTTGGTGAAGGGGTCCTCTGTGATCCCCAGCTGTGACAAAGCTGTGCAAGATAACACCAGGTGGTAGCCTTCACAGGCAGACAGAGCGGCAGGGTGTTATTCTTACCGGTAGTGATGAAACGAGAGCCCCATGGCCGCCTGGAGCTGGGCCAGCCCATGGTAATCCGTGTAGAGCAGGTCAAAGGGCAGAGGGCTTTCAATGGGACAGCTTCCTTTTCCTGGCGCAGCCCCTATGAGGCTAGACAACACAGACTTCTGGGATACCATGTACTGGTGGTGGCGGATGTGTGGTTGACAGTAAATTATTACCGAAATAATAATTAACGAACAATTAGTCACTCAGCAGACACTTTCATCCAGAACAGCTTAAAGAGACGAGGGGGAGGCAGCTATGTCTTTGAGCTTGCTGTTTGAAACGTCTTTGAGAATAAGAATTCAGTCTTGCCTGTCATCAGGAGAACAGGCATGATCAGTCACTGACAGAGCACAGCAGCCTTTTCTGCCACTGCTGTGCCTAGAGAAAAGAGCTCAAATATAAGCAAAGAGGTTATATTGAAGCTCTTATAGATACATTTCTATCAGACTTTAGATATCATTAATAACAACCAATTTACATTGGTAGATGTAATATTTTCTCCCAGTGGTGTCTTCTAACACCTAATATTGGTTGATCTTATAGCAATAAAGTACACATCTAAGGGAAGGACTACAGAACCATTTGTCTTCTGATCCAGATTCTGCTGGATATGTCTACTGTACATGTATAGGCAGAGAATGTTAGGTTTAGGGAGACCATTGCTTAGACCAGTGGGAAGCCATTTCAAGCAATTATATTACAGGTCTCCACGGCCCGAGGGAGTTCTCAGACGTAAACTCCAATGAGGTTGAAAAAATCTGGAATATTTTTCCCGACTATATCTGTGCAGTTGGCTGGTGTGGTGCACAGGGACAGGGAGACTTTTAAAAAGCGGCCTGCTGCCATCAGGGCTGCTCTGAATGCAGGACTGATCCGCAGAACAGATTTTGGTGTTCGTAGGGCCTTGGGCACTTTCACTCCGAAATGTGCAAAAAGAGGGATGAACGCCAATTGAATTACTTCGATTGGCATGACGCACTTTAAACTCTTCTCATGCTAAACCACGTGATTGATGGAGCGAGTCGCGCGACCATTACTTCGATACTCCTAGTTTCTAGAAGAGCCGCTAGATAGCGTATGATGATTGATTTGAAGCACCTAGATTCGATCGCAAGCCTGTTGTTTCAGCTGGTTTTTCGTTAGTCACTAGTGTCTCCCTCCTTCGTAGGCCCTAGGCACTATGCCTACAGTGCCTGATGGGAAATGCGGTACTGTCTGAAGGCTTTACCTGCGTAAGAGTGGCTGGGAGCTGGCGAAGATCAGGTGGTGCCCCAGGACATACAGGGCGGTGCTCACGTCAGCCCACTGGACCAGCTCCCCGAGTGGACCCCCTTTCTCCACCATCTCCCCAAAGCGCTGGCCAGCCCCTCCTGCCAGCACCCCTGGGTAGAGCAGCACCTGCATTCCAGGGAGCCGGAGAAGAGCGAAGTCAGTGTTCGACTCGATTTGTTTTTCAATATCCCTGATGTTTCGTCAGTCCTGGTTTTTCCTCATTAGGCTTGGGGGCAGGAATGTGGCACAGCTGGAACACAAGCTTTAACTGCATGAGGATCTCTACACTCAACAGAACTCTGCACGGCACACAGACAGGGCTGATGTCAGGTAAGGGCTCGCCTTATTAACGTTGTTTTTTTCATAATATGTAGGGACTATTATTCAGAGAATATCAAGAGAAATGTATCAGTTGTCCCTGCAACTAGTTACAAAGTTATAATAGGAAGTTACTAAATATTTTTTATACCAGGGGCACTAGAAGAGACAGGTACATTATGCTCATTAACATCAACAGAACTGATCAGGAGGGCCTGCATGTCACAGGCTAATAGCTTGTGTGGCTACCACTGGAAGAAACACACTCTCTACATCTGCGACACATGGTTATAGATTGGCACTTTACCGGTTTCTGTCCCATTCCTCCTGTAGGACCTAGACAAGCATATGCCTGTTCACTGGTCTCTGAGCCCAACTTGCCATATGTCATTCCAGCTCACAAAGCCCTTGTCACAGATGTCAAAGGGGAACTGCAGTCCCAATTTCTCAGACTTGTTACTACATATCGGTAACAAAATACATTATTTGACTATATAGAAAAAATGTACAAATGTCAAATTAAGCACAAAATCGTGCACTTTGTGAAAGAACTGTGAGATGCCACATTGTCGCAAACCCCTAGTCTGGAACAAACTGCTCGGCCATGTTGAAAATGAAACCATGGTTTATTTCAAGATATGGCTGGATGAGATCCTTATATCAAATAACTTCTCACTACAAAACAATCTTGATGGGGTGAATGGCCTTTCTTATGTTCTTATGCCTTCTATCCAGTACCTTCCAGCATAATCGATAGCACTGTTTCACAGCAAAACTCAACCAACTCTCGATGCAAAACAGCCTAAATATTCAGAGGTCAACAGAACAAAGGGGCCATACCTACCCTTAACTGCTGCTGTGGCCTGTGACCAATTTTCTGCCGAATTTTCTCACCAGCCTTTGCCCACCTCCTGGACAGCCTCTTAATTCTTGAGAGCATAAATCTCACCGCAGGACCCCTGCTATTTCCAATAACCTCAAACAGAGGCGTCAGGTCTGTCCGTATGAGTGCCTGTATAGAAAACACAAACTTACTTAAAGAATTTATATCATATCGGGTACTTTAGTATTCTCTTTAGCTGTCCGACTTAAAACAAGCAGGGTTTCAGCTGTCCATGTCTTGGCAGTAAGTGTGAAGTTAGAAATCCTGCCTGATGTTAGAAACCAGTTGTCTGAGGTTTCAATTCAGAATTCAGTTCAGAATTCTAAAAGTCTAAATTGGATAAATTTGAAAATCTTTAGAATTGGGAACACCTCTAGGACATGCGCTACTGCTTTATTACTGAAACACACATTTCTAAATGCTAGTAAATAGCCTTATTAGTACTACACAAATGTTAGCTTTTTAATATCTTTGAAAGGGAAGAAGTCTCTTTAAACAAGGGTTGTCCTAGTTTAAAGTGGTTGATTCAATCATCACAAACACATGCCTTACTGGTGTCTCCATACTCTAAAATGTTCCATAATATTTCATTTAAAAGTTTTCTCTTGATTTCCTACCTGATTTCAGGGTAGGGGCATAGCACCACACCTATTTAGAAAATATTTGGCCTCCTGGCTTTAAAAGCAATTGCTTCAGTGGAATGACAATGGACTGTATTTGTGTCTCCCACTCCAAAAAACATCATGGTGTATTTAGTTGCTCCACAGGACTTCGTCGGAGCTACGGCCACCTGCAACCACCTTTCCTAAGCACTGCCGTGCTCAGATTCATGATGCTGCAGTGCTGCAGTCATCTACGCCCTGAGCTACTGTACTGTGAAAGACTCCACCCTGCACCAGCACAGCCATGAGCCAGTCACAAGCACAGCGGAATGACTACAGCGCTGGCAGCCACAGCCATCCGCTAGCAAAGGGAACCTGCACTGGGGATAAAGTGTAATGTGAGAATAATTTGTTTACAATAGAGCTGGAGAGCTTTTAAAAACGCAATTAGGAATGCTTGGTTGTTCTAGCGTGTGCCAACCTACCATGGGGGCTGAGATGTATACTGCATTAGGCTCAATGTGCGATTGCCCCCTGCTGGTGCAAGGTCAGAGTGCATTTTTTTGTCTTGAAGGAGAAGCAGGATTTTTCCCATGGAAAGGCAGGGACAGTGGGGCTATCTGACTGTCCTGCTGGAGAGCGTGCACGCGGTTCAGCTTCCCCTGCTCAGGTCACTGCTGCAGTGAAATTCATTGGCTCGGTCACAGCACATATACCGCTTCTTCGATGTACACCTGCTTTCTGTCCCCACAGGGAAAAAAAAACCCAAAACAGAACCATTCCTTCGTAAATCATTAGGAAAGTTAATCCCTACAGGTGGATTGTCGTCTTTTAAGTCAGTAGCATCTTCATGCCTGACAAAAATGTGCAGTGACTGTAACTGTTTTAGAAACACACGCCTACTCATAACTGGCTTAAAAACTGGATCGCCTAATTGTATAGATCAAACCGTTTAAACACGAGCTGTCATAGTGTCTTAAAGCGTTTGGGGTGTAATAAACTGCTATTTGTTTTTTACATTTTCCATGTGTGCCCTGTAACTTCTCTCTTTTCAACAGTTTGATTCAAAACCAGATCTTGAGACATTTACGATTAAAGCAGAGAACGATTCATTAGCATCGGTTGAGGGAAGGTTTTGTTTCTTGATGGAGGTGCTTGGATGTTGGATGCTTTTTCATGTTAATGCAGTGTGAATGTTTGTTCAGACGGGTGTAAGAACCACGCTCAGATCAATTGTAGACATTGCTGTGTAAGATACACCATAAATGAAGCACCTAGGATTAACAGAGATGTAGTCCAAGTGTCTGTCTCAGGTGTTATAGAGCTAGCATCAACCACAGATGTCCACCAGAGGGTGCTCAGGGATATTAAAGGTCCATTTATTATTAAGCCTTTTATTAATTACTCTAATTGTTGTCCAGGAGTGATCAAAATCTGTTAAACATTGTATGACATGTACCAAGACAAAAGGCTATTTAAAAAGAATAGGTCTTCACATCCTTGCTCTATACTCAATATTCCACCGAAATTAACCTTCTGACTGATCGCATGCAAGGGACAGCCTATTATCATGAGTGTTGGTTTTCAGTGTTTCACCTCTCGTTTTTCCCTCGTGGATTCCTGGAGCCAGTCTGGAACGATGGCTAGGCTTCTGCTGGGCAGAGTGGGGCAGAAGTCCTCTCGCTCGCTCAGGTATGCCAGGATAGAGCAGTCAGTGCCATCGACGCCATAGAAGGCATAGCAGGGGTCAGAGTGCCAACTGGTTTGCAGGAACTGCTCATAGGAAGGAGAGGGAGCACTGTATTACAACACACAAGACACGTTTCTCTCTCACACAACACTATTAACTCTTACTAATGTCAGTATCTATGTATACCCTTTCTGTATGAAAAATGGACACCCACTGAGAATAGAGGCAACATTCTGTATTTCCACATCATTTTCTTAGCCCATATTACAGGCATTAACCTTCTTCATGACTGTATATACTTAGACCAAGGGCACAAGGCCGAGGTAACAGATGTGATTGTGTGTTTGGTGGCTGGTGTCGTTCTTATTGCGTCTGTGTTAAGTGTTTAAAAATACCTGAACACTGTGAATGCCCAGTTCTTCAAATGTTCCGTGAAGAATGTCACAGAGACATTAAAGACATTAAAGAATGGCTTTAAGCCTCAGAATGTCTGATTTCTGTATACAGCAGAATTAACCTTTGAATACTTACAGTCCAAAAGCCTCTGCTTTCTGTATCAGACTTTTTAGATTCTGACACAATTATCTTCTGCCTTAATTTAAATGCTGGGCCTGTTTGGTGTTCAGATACTACCTTGTTTAAGATTTTCGGCTTGTAGTACCGAAATACCTTTGTGACACACGTATTGTCAGCTGCAAACTGGCAATATTAATTCCCATTTCATTGCTTTTTATAAGGATTTCTTTCCACCTTTGGAAGCGGAGTCTCTCTAATGTTGAATGAAACCTCGTTGCATTTGAGCCCCCTGTACCTGCATGGTTTCATTCCAACTCTGTTTAATTAATTACTGCCTCAATTGGAGATGTTTAACAGCTTTTCCTAGCAGTGAAGGAGCTGCTGAAATAAATAGACCCGTAAAAACCGCTGGACTACAGCCATGACACCCCCAGCACAGTGCAGAAGTGCGATCTGTTTTCAAGGCACTGTGCATTGTTTTTCATTCAGTCTTGCCTTTAAAATCATCAGAACCTTGTAGCACCAGATTGTTTGCTCCATCCATCTAGAAACCCGTCATTTTCTGATTTTTGCCATTCGATCACACGGCATTTCCCTGCAGTTGATTGTTTAGCTCAGAGGGAGATCATTTGTATCGGGCACTGTCGTTCCTGTTCATGTTAAACAAAAACAGCATCGTAGTTCCATCACCTATACAACAAAACCTAAAGAGCACCTTGGCTTTCACGGGTAATATTTTTCACCACGCGGATCTGCACGGTTGTGCACTGGGGGTGCCCACACTTTTTCTCCAGTTTGTGGAAAAACAGTAACTTGGTTTTACCTGCACTTTTCCTGCACACAGGGGAAACTTGGGATTATTGGGCACTTCACAGACTTGAGGCTGACCTTCAAAAATAAAAGAACACCCATGTCATCCCATTGAGTCCAACTATCTGAGGATGCAGTGTCTTTTTTTCATCGCCATATTTGGTGACCAAGAAAGAAACGACTCCCTATTTATTTCCTGCTGAATTTAGAGTATATTGGAAGAACGTCATTTCCTAAATCCATTTCCCCCTGCAACTCGGATGGCTCAGGCTGTGTTTGCTGCCACGTCAAATATTCGCCAGGCAGTTTTGTGCCTTGGACAACCCGTTATTTTCTCACGATTCTTTGCGGACATCCGCTAAACAAAATAGGGTGATTAACTTGGTGGTGTCAGTGGTTAATTTGTCAGAGGGCTGTGCATGAATTAAAGAGGAAATACAGAAACAGCACACATGAACAGAGGTGTACAAACCACCTAAATGATTCGTACTCTGGCAATAAGCCTGCATGGAGGTTTTGTTAATACACCTTCCAGGGCAGGTTGGTATCAAAAGGTGAAGAGAGGGGTACCTTCTGGTGGATGTATAAGCACCTGCCTGCTGAGGCTAAATATTTATTTCTAGAGTGTTTCTGCCCTAATGCTGCCTTGCATGTGTTCATACTCACTGAGCTGGCTCAGTCCCAGCATCCCTCTTCAGCCCCTGGTAGCTTTGTCTGGGTGAAACGTTGTTCCAATCCATCATTTTTAAGAACTGTAGTCTGCCCTTTGCCTGCCCCACTTGAAACGCCGGACAGGGCATTCGTAGAGTACGCAGACTGCCATGCACCAAAGGTGTCTGCTAGGGCATCGGCTTTGGGTGAGGAGAGTTAATGACTCAACTGCCCAAGGTGCTGCTTCCCAAACACCCCCAAATACCCCCTTCTCTAACCACATCGTGGGGCAGGAATCACCTGGAATAACCCTCTCTGCTGCCCCGGCGGGCTTATACACAAGCTCCTTGTTCCCTGTCTCCCCAACCCCCCCCCCCCCAGACCAGGGGGCTGCCAACCCAAACAGAAATCCCGTGCGTACGATCACGCTGTCGAAAAAAAAAAAAAAGAGCGCCCGCTTGTTAAAAAGGCGCGTTCTGCTGACAACGTGCCCACCACGTCGGCAGTAAAAGGAAAGGAAGCAAACACACTAAAAAGAAAAGCTGCGAAGCAACAAAATCCGAAAGGGTGACATAAAGCCAATAAAACAAGCTGCGCCGTTCGCCGATATTAGAAAAACAGCCCGCAAGGCCGGAGCCAAGGGCTTCCACGGCAACCCGATACTGTTTTATAGAGCTGAGGTCATACTGCCCTTGAGGGAGAGAGTGGGCCGCCTGGCTAGTATGAATCACATTATTCTAAGGTGTATATTCACTGTGCTCTCCCTTGGGGACCCTAAATTGGCAGCCCTCACCTCTCTTGACCTACTCCACGGGGTATGGTAAATGAAGGCGGTAGCCCTGCTTATAAACAGATCTGTAGCTGCCGTTACACTTTCGGTCTCCTCATTAAATGAACGTCTCTCCTCCCGCAGCTCACCCTGTAACTGTATTCCACACGCGCTGCCATGTTCCTGGTGCTGAAGAACGGGTCTCCTGGTTCTGTCACTTATATTCTGCATTTCCCCGCTTTTTATAACTGAAAATGGGCATTTCAGGGAAGCTTTCAGATATTTGAATTTAAGAGAACCGGTCTTTCACCACCAAAACTCTGCATCCCTACAATTCAGTCTCCAAAAATCTAAAAATGTCTCCTCCACTGCTTGTCCGGGACCTGCCTGTACTTCAATATGTATATAAACCAACAGCAAAGTCTTTCTTTTTAGGTTAAAAATAAGCATGTTGCCAAAGTCGGAGTAAATTTTTGATATAAACATTGGCAGTTTGAAGTGTTCTGTTTTTCACCACAAACAATGGGGGGACAAGTCTGTATCCCAGCCCTAGAACTGCATCCGGAAAACTGTCGTTAGAAATACACCTGTCTTGCGCTGAAAGCATTGCTGAAGCAAGGACAGTAGACAAGTATTCAAAATCCTTAAAACAGGCATTGACAAAGTCGACCCAGAAGGTTTTCTCAGCGCCGAACAGTGAGTCACGAAGAAGTGGACACAAGTGGAAGAGAATTTGAAATTGCGTACAGGAGGGCGTTCTTCCCCCCATGGCTTCTGGGAATCTGGAGCAAGGTACCTGGCCATGATGGTGGAGCCGTCAACTGGGATCATTGAACTACTAATTACCAAGAGTTAGATGGACCAAATGGCTTCCTCTCATTTCTAAACTTTCTTATGTTCCTTTGACAGAGCTGGTTGTCATTTCAGTCAAGGAAAGACCCCGAAAACTTTAAAGCCGAGTTTTTAGAGCCGTGAGTACAGCGTTGTCCTTTCGAGTTTTACCTTCCAGGGCAGTCCTGCTCTTCGCGACAGAGGCTGGGCTTCTCTGCAGAAGTTGGTCCAGCTTCTGGGACACCCTGACCAGCTCTCTCTCCATTGTGTGAACCAGGTATTCATGGTCCCGTTTAAAGCTAAAATAAATTCAGTGAGAGTTTTATGCTACAGCGGCTGAGACATTGACATTGCTTGTCTGCCCATGTTTACAGCAAACGAAAAATAGTTTCCATTCCACAGAACTGGTTGGGAGGGAAGGAGGAGGATTTTGGAACAATTCTATCATAAATGTAATAATTATTCATGGCAACAACTACCAGTTTTTGAACTGTTGCACTTCTACAATCAAACAAAATCTGTCATTTTAAAATTCAGTGTTACTGTGACTATGACTCTGGCAATCTAAGATTACCCTCAGTATAAGGTTACTGTTTTGAGCAATTCATTGAATACCTAGAGCAGAATCAACGAGGTAAGTAATCTAATTTTGGTTGTTTTAGATTTGCAGTTACTATTGAAACATCACAGTAATGTTTCTAATTAAATTCAATTGACCAGTGCAGTAGTAAAAGTGCTGACATTTGTTTATCACAGTCCACTACCTGCTAGCAATTATCACTATTAAAAAAGGAGTGCATGACTTATTATCCTTCTTTTCAACCTATTTCCAAAACAATGCTCTAGGATGGAATGAGATAGTGCCTCCAATGATAGAGTATCTAGCTGCACATCACACACACTTACAACATCTGGAGAAGGGACAAGGGTAAGGGAGTTGGAATACCATTAGAATATGCCACAACGCCTTAATTGTAATACCAATGTGTCTGTATAAAATGCTATGAACTGTGTGTGATGGCTGAGTTCATAATATTATTTATCCATTAAAATGACACTTGACACTATACTGTAAAAAAAAAAAAAAAAGCTGTCCTTTGGATGAGAGATAATATCAAGGTCCTGACTCTCCATGATCATTAAAGATCTCAGGGCGTTCCTGAAAAAGAATATGGGTGTCACCCTGGTGTCCTGGCCAAATTTCCCCCTGGCCATTACCAATCATGGCCTCCTTATAATCCCCCTCTCTGAACTGGCTTCATCACTCTGCTCTCCTCCCCACTGAGGTGGTGTGTGGCGAGCGTACTGGTGCACTATCGCATCATCCAGGTGGGGTTGCACACTAGTGGTGGTGGAGGGGATCCCCATTACCTGTAAAGCGCTTCGAGTGGAGTGTCCAGAGAAGCGCTATATAAGCGTAAGGAATTATTACAACAATAACGGCCTTATCTGAAAGGGTCACAGTGAGCCTAACCTTGTGCAGACAAAATTCATGAGGTAGGACTACACCCTGGATGATATGCCAGTCCAATGCAATACACTAATTAGCCAGGGAGTGAACTGGAATGCCCTAAGAGAGTCCACACAAATCCCGGGAGATCTGACAATCTCCCCGCAGAATCCACTCTCATCTCAAATCGAACCCGGGGGTTGTGAGGCCTCGGGCACTCGCCACCCTCGCAGAAATGGATCGTTTCTTCCGATACAGCCGCCGAGATCTTCAGCCGTGCGGTGTGAAGAGGAGGGGGAGACGGGGCCGGATCTTACCGCTGGAGGACCTGGGGCAGGTCGTGCAGCCCCGGAGGATCGCCGTCCCTCGTCAGGCGCTGGATCTGCGAGCTGAGGGCGTCCAGACGCAGGGCCAGCCTCCGCACGCCGTGACGGGAGTTGTCTGCAATCCCAAAGGCTTGTGGGTAAGGTTGAAAGTGGGACGTAGGCAGTCGGATTGATTTACAAAACAACGTGTCTTAAAAGCCCACTGGTCAATAGTAAGACCCATTAACATGATCTGATAGAAACCGTGCTGTTGTAAGCAATTCATTCAATTCGGGTAAAAGAATCCAGGCACCAACTAATGTGATTTCGCAGGCCAGAACCACTTAGAGGAGGCATTTGTGTATTTTATGGTGTGCTGTTTTATTTTGAAGTGGGACTCATATATCGGCACATATTTCCAGAGTTATAGAGTAGTGTTAGCACTTAATATTTTCGGAATAATTACTGGAATATGTTAATATAGCTCAGTGGCTCTGCCTCAAGGCCTGTTAAAGTACAAGAAGAACTAACTTTGTGAGAACCAAAGGAGTTGTTCAGCTCCTGCCAAGGAGCTTTTTTGTCAAGTCAAAAAGTGACCGCCTTCAAGGAACAGGAGGTAAACCACCTGAGCATGAAACAACCTAAAACTGCTACATGAGACTATACTGTACAAGAAGGGCTAGAAAACATTGGCAGCTTGTCTGTTCTGCAGGATTGACCCAAAGGCTGATTCTGCACAAGAGTGTCTCCTGCTCTTCTGCCGAAGAATTTCCCACAACAATTTCATTTCACAGTGCATTAAATTACTGTAATATGCTGTCTATGTGATTCTCTGTTGTTTCAGCTTGAATTGCCATTTTTTCCCCCGCTGCCTGAGCCAAAGACAGGGTCAGATAGACCCTTCAAAGCTGACTGGCAAGAAAGGATGGGAGAAAGTGTGTTTGAGGTCCACCTGCTGACGCCCACAATAATGGGCTTCAGATCAGATGGCAATGCGACTTGATAGTCTTCCCTGCCAGCATAAGGGAACCAGTTAAGAAACTTTCCTTTCCTCCAGAAATGTTTATGGGGAATTTCAAACCTGAAAGGTTGCACAAGTTTTAGAAACAGTGCATGATATACATGAAAGAATATTTCATAATGTAATGAAATATTAAGGGAATGTAGACACATAAACATTTGGTTATATTCACAATCAAATGGATGTGTTCCTTCAACGTGTTTGCATGTGGGATTGCTCTGCAACCACATAGTTTTCAAGTGGCTCTTCTGTGAAATTTTTCCTGGATGGGCAAGCTAAACCTAAAAAAAACAGGCAAATGGAAATGATTTTTTAACTTCTAATCTTAACTTCTTCTAAAAACACCTAGGGGTACCAATAAATAGAGATTTTTAGGACCAGTGTAAACGGGAAACGTTTACAGAATCACAGAATCAATTAGCCGCCTTTCGCACAATGAGGGCGTAACTGAGGTTGCCTCGTGGCGAAACAAGACCGTGCCGGCTCGTATTTCACAATCCCGAAAATCAAAAGAAATGAATTAGCAAGGAAGAGCCAAAATAAGCCAGTGAGGGCTGCCACGCGCCAGCAGGAGCGAGGTGTAACTGAAAGGCGATCCTGATTCAAGAGCTGTAAATCGGCTGCGATCAAGGCAGAGACCGGGAACCCAGCACTTGGGAAGGCATTGTGTTTGCGGTGAGGCCAAGTTCCAGAGCCACCGGCGCACAAGCACACAAGCACAACGTGATCTGTTTGCATGCCCAAACTCAGCGTGGTGATGTCACCCCCCTTTCCCCGAGCTCGCGGCAGAGCCGGAGATATTGGAAAGAACCCCTGCCGTTGCTTGTGATTCCCTGTGCTGAGGATAGGACAGACTGGCACGTATCTCCCTGTGTGCTGGGAATATCTGGTGCTCCTGGCGACGGGTTTGCCCGTTTCATCTGGTCTCGTTGGCATCTCTGACCCAGCTCCTGGAGAGCCCCCAGTCAATCGGATTTTATTGGACACCGTAAAATTGCTAAATTCCTGGAAAACAAATGTACTGGGAATCAGTTGCAGGTGGTTTATTAAGTAATTTCCTGATCATTTGGAATGAAAATCTTCGGCCCTGAAAGACCTCTTAGTGCTTCAGTGATCAAAAGCAGACAGGTATTGCCAATCTTTTCAAATGAGTGATTCGGAAAACATAGCGGATTGGAACTCTCCAGTACCGGGGTTGCAGACCCTAACTTTGCTTACAACCGCTACTTTGTGATCACCCCCAGCTTGATCTCAACCTGACTACGAGGAGGATTTTACAGGCTAAGTCAACAGAAGCCAGAAAAACAATCCTGCTGGTTCCAGCACAGACTGCTCTGCCGCTCGAGATCCGCCTGCTGGACGTTATACGCCTGATGCGGAGCATCATCGCATCCTGGGTATGGTGCTCTGCAGCTGCTCAGACTGCAACTCAAGCTGCTCTACCTCCATGATTATTTGTGAGTGTAAATCTTGAGATCTGACAGCCAGCGTCCTATCCAGAGCTGTCAAATACTCAGCCTGTAATAACTTATTGTTTCCTTCGTGATCTGTCCCTCCCTGCTCCCTCATGCCTCTTCTCACTCAGCACGAAGTCTCGCAGACCCCAGCCTGACCACTGTCCAGCCCTTTTCCCTTTGCCCTCGTTAACACAGCAGCCATCTAATTACCTCATCCCATCCGGTCGTGTTTATCCAGCTGGAGCAGCAGGTTTGATTTTCTCAGCCAAGGGATTGTGCCAACAAGCAAATAGCATTTTTTTTTTTTTTAAAGGAGTATTAAAAGAGGTTTATGTTAAGCCAGGGAACAATAAGGAAATGAAGGGGAATTTTGTTTCCGCTGTTATTTCACCAGGAGCTGGTTCTGGGGGCTGCGTGTCAGTCTGGGCAGCTCGGTGACTCACCCCCTGGTACAGGTGGCGGAGGCTGTGCGCCAGACCTGCTCCCCTGCCACAACCCTCCCCTCCCGCCACGCACACACACTGCCCCTTTTCATCTGACCCCTGACCTCTGAACACCCAACCTTCAACCTTTTCAAATGAAAGCACAGATTGAAGTTTATCCCAGTTCCACACTTCATACAATGGCAGCCAAATGTTGATCTGATCTGATCTGATATCCAAAGACATACTGGTAGGTTAGATGGCTTCTAGTAAACTGTCCCTGGTGTGAGTGTGTGTACTGTCTGTGCCTCACAATTGACTGGCTGGCTTCCCCTCAAGGATGTACCCTGCCTTGTGCCCGTTTCTTGCCAAGATAGGCAGCCCGGGACCCTGAATTGGATGGTGCTGTTAGAAAATGGATGAATGGATAATATATTGATAACAAAATATTTCCTCATA